GATCTAATCCACTATTAATATCAATATTAAAAACAGTTTCTTCAACATGCGTATAATCGTCTGTATTTATTCTTAATTGAGAAGTTTTTTTAGTTTTAGATTGAGAAGTACTACCGTTTTTTTATTTTTCTTGGATTTTGAGCTCCATAAATTAGTGATCGAATCAACTATGGTTGTTTTACCCTTATGAACATTGTTTTTACCGGAATTCATATTCAAATATAAAAAAGTGAGTAAATTATATATAATACGAAAATGTAATGCAAAATTTTAAACAAATAAATAACTAAATAAGTAGAGACTAGAGACTAATTACTCACAAAATAAATATAAATGCAAACAAATATATAACTAAATGAAAAGTAAGTTGGAACGAATGTACCAAACGTCTACTTAAAAAAGTAGACGTGTATGACCGGAAGCCGAAAATTGAAAGTTGAATTTTGAAGCTCCAATTTCCAGAGACCAAATTCGTACTTTTAACGAGAATAAGAGAATTTAGAGAGTAGAAGATATTTTTGTGAGTGAAAAGAATGAAATATTAGGAGTATTTATAGTTTAAAAAAAGGATGAAAATGTAGTTTTAAGAAGGTTGAGGTATTAAAAAAAGTTTTGGGGGAGTAGGGAGGTGTAAATGGGAGTTATAGGGGTGAAAGAGCCGTTGGTGGGGCCCAAAATCCGTTGCCCAACGGCTCTCAACGGCTATAATTTAAGATTTACGATTAAAAAAAATAAAAAAATAAAAATTGAACAAACCAGACCGGAACAGGGACTAACTGGACCGGTAAATCCTGGTTTCCGTCCCGCTACCCCTCCCAAACCGGTACAATACCGGATCGAACCGGTAACGGACCGGAACCGGTACCGGTAGCTCCCGGTTCCGTTGCCACCCATAGAAGTACGCACTTTAGAATCCTTTTACATCGTTTCAACACTACCACACACATATCCCCCAGGATACACCTAGACTCTCACACGGTTATCAGTTGGTCGCAACGCACATCCAAATTTCTCGCTTACGAATCACATCGTAATTTATCTAGACTCTTGTACCTAATCTCGTGATGACTTTCTTTTCACAACACATTTCACGACACTTAAGCAATTACAACTTACAGACATGTCCAAATTCTTTAATTAGTTAGTTCCATAGACGATCATTACTGATCATCTATGCCTTATACGGCCCCTAAGGCTAGATACCAATTGGAACCTTCTCAGTTCTAATTAACTTGCTTGTGTCCCTTCAGCGGGGACTACGACGTCTAGTTCACTTCGTTGAGATACCAATTGGAATCAGGAGATAGCAATTGGACTCAACTCATACCACAAGCGACAATAGTAGCTGGCGAGCCCCACAAAACTGCTAATTTCAATCATAGAACTTGGTCGAACCCAATTCTTAACTGCCTTAATCTTTAACTGATGGTAACCAGACCTTAAAATAATTTTAGAGAAAATCGATGCACCTTGCAATTGGTCAAAAAGTTTATCTATCCGAGGCAATTGATACTTGTTCTGAATGGTAACCTTATTCAACTGTCAGTAGTCTATACACAATCCTCTCTTGCTCGTGATGGTGTTATCACTTTTGTTGCTCTAGTTCGGACCATAGAATGAAGGAGGAAAAATACCAATTGAATTCAAGTCATAGCACTAAAGAGTAGAAAGAAGTGAGTTTTTTCCTAAAGTCTTATAGCCTCTCGAAGAAAAGTATGGACGTCTTCGTACTGTTCCACAAGACTCTACGAGACTCGTTTTGGTACAATTAGATCAACGAACCTAGGACTCTGATACCAACTTTCTCACGATCCAGACCATCATGATTGGCAACCACATTAACTCTCTGGTGGGAGAACCATTAATACTAAATAGCTAACCAAGAATTACACAACATAATCAAAACTAATGCATTT